AAGGAAATAAAATAATAATACTGATGTTTATTTTCTCTTTCTGGGAAAAGTTTATAACAAAACCGACGAATAGACGTCCGTGTTTCTTGTAATTAAAAGGCTCAAAGATATCTTGTTTAGAAGAATGAGTAATTTACAAACTTTAAAAAGGGAGCTAATTAAAATTTGTCGAGACTCATTTGAATAATACTTTCTTATCCTTATTCTTGGATACTTTTTCACTTAAACAAGCACTTCTATACTTGTTTGTATATTATATTACTTGTTTTTCTACTTACTTCTACTATATTATTGGTTTTTCTACTTTTCTTCAGCTTTCTTATATGTGTGATAATGTGAACAAAATAATATGCTTTTGGTTCTTTTCAATAATAAACTCTGTTGAATTAATCGCAATTAATAAATTTTCATTAAATCTTTAAAAAACATTATATAAATCTTGATTAGTTTGATTTCGATTTAATTTGTTTTCGTCAAAGTTTAAAATAAATTACCTTCACCGGACATTGCTCAATATATTGCTGGATGGTTAATTTATCTCTTAAAAATAAGTTCGAATATCATATGCAATAAATCATATTGTTATTAACATCCAATTTAATCAATATTAATGACTTTAAATTCCTTAATCTAAATATATCCGTTACTATAATTTTGCACAATTGTTTGAAATAAATTCAACAGTAAAGTTGTATTAGAATAGACATAGAATTTATCAAAGAGACAAAACTTCTTAGCATTCTATGGATTCACGGTGCTGATACCCGGTCAATCGCAATTTTTTTATCAGGTTAAATAACAATTTCCATACATCTTAACAATAAATCAAATCTTTTTAAAACTACTTCGACTTTGATAACGAGTTTAATTTGGACCATTCCTTTAATAGTATGGCAGCTAGAATAACTGAATCCTGTATTTTATTGTGTGCCAAAAATTAAATATATATATTTTCATTATTTTTAAATATATATATATTTTTTTGAATTAAGCCTCTTGGAGAAATTAAACGGTATGTATGAGATGCTACACGCATACTGTATGTGATTTTAAGATAAATTTAAAAAGTGTATAAAATAGGTGGAAAATATTTTCATTACTCAATAAATAAAATAATTTGTAATCATATGTATTAAGATTTTTAATTTATTTTGTGACGATATTTTGTTTTACCTGACATATTACTTTTAATTATATTCAAAAACTTCACTTTTAACTACATAAAATAAAACTGTGACACAGAAAGTTTCAAACAATCGAGTATGTCGATGATAAATAAATTGGTTTCCAATGAATTTTTAAAAATTAATCGTGTATTTATTATATTTTTTATAAAAGAATAAAGAAAATTAATTCGACAAGATAGCGTGATGACGCGTAGCTCATTTTAATAAATTTATGAATTTAACAATAAAATCCTCAACAACGCTCTCTCTTCGGACATTCAAAAAGACATTTTTATATGAAATGTTCCGTTTTTATATTTATTAGTGGATAATATATTTATTTTATTTTTAATTTATTCTGAAAATTCAAAAAAAAATGTTTAAGTAATCATAAAGGTTTATAATTGGATAGTAATTGTATTTGACACTGTCTTACATATGTATAGATTAATCAGAATAATGTTAAAAATATACGAATATTTAAAATATCAAACAATGTTCTTATAACATTCGATTAAATAATTCTATTGGATTTTTTGAGGACATTAGATATAGTTAAAAAAATATTTCAAACTCAACCCAACTATATATCTCCAAAAGGGAGTCATTGTAACAGTTGAATTTAAATAATCAGCATCAGAAAATACGAGATAAGGGTTGTTGGATAATTACTACGGCTTTGTGACATCACGTAGTTAGTATACCGTCATTTAAACAAAAATTAACCCTTCCATATAAAATTAGATTCCGACTCTATATTAAAACTAATATATATTTTAAGATATATAAAGATAATAAAATAAGCTCAGTTCCATTGGGATTGCCAGAAATTTTTCGAACACAATATATGTAGCTGTTTTTCTTTTACTTAATTGTATAAAATCAGAATATCAATTTAAATGGAATTGTGTTTATGTAATCGACTCAGTTATAGCTAGAATATTAAGTCACTTTTAGTACCAAGATTCTAACAGGCTAACATTTAAAAGACGTTTAAAAATAATAAGATGACGGCTGATAGTCAAGAAGTAATATTCTTTTCTGAAAAATGTAATTATAAAGCTTACTTATCTCAATCTCAAATGTTATATGTGAGAATAATTGATTTTGTAATTGCTTTTCTTTTCGTACATTAAAAATATTTTATTAAAAAAGTATTCTTACAGTTATATAATTAGGTTAACTGAGATTAATCCAAGTTCAGAATACAACTGAGCAAGTTTGAAGTACGTTTTAAAAAGAGATAACTATTCATATCCTATCTCGTTATCCTTAGTTTTGAAAGAGAGCCAACAGTAGCAGCCAGGTTTACCAAATGCGGTCACTTGCACAGCGACTTCACTAATTGTAACTATTTGTTCCCAGTCGCAGTATAATACATCACTTATAAATGTTTCATGAATATAAAACTAATGAGAGCACGTTTTACATCCTCTAGATGTTAAACAGTTTAAATTTTAACCCGAATCTTTTTGTATAATTTTAACTTCGACGGGATAGTGCTTGTCTGTCTTTCCAGACGTTAGTAAGTGGTGAATGTACCATCTCAATGATAGCTTATTTACCTTTTTCTTGAAGAAACCAAAATTATCAGCATCCAGAGGATAGAAAACTTGGGGTCTTCTAGTTGACGGAGGCGTTGATAGCAGACGTCATTACGATTATAAAACATACTTTGGCACAGTGAAGAATGTTAAACTCAACGGTGTAACCTGTACACAGAAACTGAACTAATCTAGTTTGTGTTAATGAAGAAAGCTTTTAAGGCATAGCTACATTTTCTTACTGCCCCTTAACTTCGGTAAGCTTGTTTTGATCCGTAACCAAAACCTTCTCAGTATCGCTGTTAAAGCCAATAAGGGTACATCTTCAGTCATTTTATTTTATTTTTTTATTTTTAGTTTATTGGAGAAAAAACAGAGCACAGGAATGTAATAAAAATATAAACAATAACACAGTAAATTAAAGACAAATAATACCTGAGTCCTTAAACATTTCTCACTAAGAAATATAGATAAATTAAAAAGAGAGGCTGCTTGGGCACGCATCTCTTATAATACACTTGGTAAAAGTGATGTGTACAAATAAAGTGTGTAAACTTAATTTAAGGATGTGAAGGGAGTGATGGTAAATGTGCAGAGAATATTTAGCGTTTAAACTAAACTCTTAAACAATGTTACAAAACAGGACTGCGAGGTGGTTTATTTTTTTCAAATAATATGGTCCGCAATTTGTTATGAAACGCGGCTGAATTATGACGTAAAATATCAACTGGAAAAAATTCGTTATTATAAGTGCGACATACATATTTTACGTATTGGAGCGCGTAATCCCGCATTTGTGTATAATCGCGGTGCATGAAATAATGATAGTGATTAATTATTTTAAATAATGATAGTTGGAATGTAAACGGCTCCTTATGTAATTTTCTTATTGCATAAAGTAATTGTAACGAAAATTTCTTCAACACAAGCATTTTCCCAATTTGAAAACCTGACATAATATTATTACGAATAGCCACTAACACACCTCCACCATCTTTTTTCATTGTTTAATGCAAATCTCGATCGCATCTATATATTTGATACCTATCGTCTATTAATTCTGAACTATGTATACCCGGTTGCAGCCAGGTTTCAGTCAAAGTTATGACGTCATAATCTTGTGACATATTATTAACTCGGAAATCACTCAATTTTGATTTAAGACCACCGCAGTTTTGATAATAAATACTAAGGCTATTTATAGTCATTACATATATATAAAAATATTTACTTTTAATATTTAATTCGCCTGCACATTCACTGCACCCATTACAAAAAATATGCAAACAAACTTCTGACACAAAAAATGAAAGATAACTGCTAAAATAGCGATTTCAATTTGTATAGTAAATAAAATAAAAAACAATTAACAAGACTATAAAGTTAACATGCTTAATTACCCTATGTGAGTTAAATAATACAAGTATATTATAATTTGTAAACCATATATGAAACATGCACATAATAACAAAATAATTCCTTATCTGCTACATAAAGTGTAAACTATTTAAGGTCAAGAACATTATTCTTGTGTGAAATGCATCGAATAAAGAAAAAGTACTACGCTTTAAGAAATATCTTACATACTCACTGCAATGTGTCGCAAGGATATGGTTACAATTATTACCTTACATTTTATATATCGAGATAGATAACCATTGTTTATACTATAAACATAGAAACACATTCCACAAACATAACCAAAATTATTGTGTAAGAATAGCAGTAAACAAAATTGTTTAGAAATAATACAATTGTTGTAACATATTTTTTTGTGTTTATAAAGTTATTTTTGTGTTGATTTCTTAATAGTAAGTAGTAACAGTAAAAATCAAGCGGTGCTGTTACTAGAAACGCTGATAAAGAACAAAGGTGAATTAAGTTCTGCGAATTCACAATGTATATATATGTATATGTATATATTTTAGCGGTGTAGTGCTCTTTATTTAACACACCTATGAATAGGATAAGTTTTCTAAATTTATTTATATACTCCATGATTGATAACATAATTATTAAGTGAATGAGCCGACGTAGAATGTATACATATGCATGCCAGATAAAAAAGATTTACCCTATGGAAGTGACACATAATTACATATATAAAAAACCATCACAACGTACTGAGGTCTTTTTCGGAACGGATGTATGTATATAACAGGGGCATTGTCATTTTTACGCAGTTGTATGATAGCATTTTTAGTCCACACATATCTGTATTTATCGCAAGCGATAGATCTTGTTTTGGAGAATAATATGTATTTTATTGCGTAAGGTATCTTACCTTTACCTAGTGAGCATCTTTGCTCATGTAGACGATGCGATCTGATTGTGTTACGTCACTGCTTGACCTCGAAGAAGCGTTGCGTGGTCCACCCGCAGCTATGAGTTGACCCGCCGCTAAGCCACGCCGAACACGAGATGCAGCGATGACGTCATCCCTCAGATGCTTCGTGTTAAGTTGTAGTATGATATTTTTAGTTCTGTCTGTATGCGTATTACGAGCAACACGGTAAACTGCTTTAATGGATTCAGCAGGAATGACAATGCCGAGAAGGGTACCCAGATTTGAAACTAGTTGCATTAGGTTATAAAATTATAATACGTATAAACCCAAAATTTTGATGAAAACTTTTATGTAAATGACCAGTTTCTTGAATGGCATATAGACAAGATGTTTTTAATTTATTTATCTATTAAACATACCTGAACAAATAAACTTATTACATACAATATTCCTACCCGTAATATTTGTAAAAACATTAATATGTGTAGGTGTAATATACCTTAGAATATTCTTTTGGGTCTACACTCTTAAGTTCAAGTTTTTTTTTCTGTTAGACATTCAAATTTCGTAAAACCTCTCTATGTAAAAGCTATGATAGTTTTAATGCGTAGTTTTTCTGCTAAATTCTGGACAGAACGTTTTTAGTCAGGCTAAGGAATCTCATCGATTTGAAAAAACTAAATGATTATTTACTTTTTATTACTCTATAAAAATCTGTGAATAAGGAAAGAAAGAACATAAAATGATAATGGATAAACATGTAATGACTCAACTCTTGAATTACGACGTTAATTCCGAGAAGTTATACAACTTCTTACATGTAATAAAAAGATATCTAAATAAAATTAAGTTATATTTTTACAGTTTCGGATATATTGTTACGGTCATAGCAACAAACATCATTCATTGCTCTTTTCCACCTATGACAAATGCACACTGTTAACATTGACTAATTAATAAAACTATGGTTTTGAATTGATTGACTGACGAGATACAGGTTGCTGCAAAGAAAACGTATCGTCTAGAGTATGCAGTTGTAAAATAATAATAAACGCTTAGGTAATTTTATATGAATAAATATAGTCATTCATAAAAATCTGAGATATCATTGTATATATCATAGTGAAACTACAGTTACCTACGCCAAAATGTATTTCTTTTATAAAAGGTATATGTATGTACGTCTATATATTTTCTACACTTTATTTGTTTGTTTTGATACCCTTTCCTTTAACGTTTAAAATGATTTGATGACTAATTTTATACCAAGCGAAGGTTAAAACTGCAATACATTTAATAAATTATTGTTTTAGCACTATTATATAGTTTAACATTAATCTTTTAAATAGTTAAACATTAAGTAATAATTAGGACAGAACAGTATAGAAATGATATATTTAAATAAAGTCTTTTTTTTAACGAAGAACGATTGAAATATTTGAATCCCAGACCTTATATATCATAGGCAGTGTGACCAGATATTTTCTAATTCTTCACATATTTAATCTAGAACAAATGCTTTAATAGTGATGCTTCAAAGTAAAATTTCACTGATGTGATATATTATTTTATATCAAAAAATAAACAGCTATCTGAAGAATTATATTTCGATTTAGAATACAACGTTGTATACACCTGTAAAGGCTAATCATACTGATTTATATTTAATGCATATAATTATTGTGTTAGTTATTATGATAAGTCGATGGTGTACCGTGTATCTGTTTATAAATAAATAAAATAAAAAAATTGGATAAGTGATTATTTATTGTGAGCTTTTACGAGTCGTTTTAATATAAGCTGTTTATTGTTTTCTAGATATAATAAAATATTCTTATGCGTGTACAGTTTACTTTTAATTTCAAAAAATATTTTAAAAAGTGAGTTAAGATCATAGTTTAAAAAATATAAATTGTCAAAATAGTGAAAGTATATTTGTACTCAATATATGCACATGAATTTGTGCATTAATTTGTGCACAGTTGGATTTAAGGCATTTGGAACTGTTGGAATGTTATGCAATTGAGGAAAACTGAATGAATTGAAGGGTTTTAAACTCTCCTTAACTCTTTGTGTATTTCTCATAATCACTTTATTATAAGAGTCACCTCAGAATTTTAATATGTTTGGTTACATTAATTTCCACTGATTTGTACGTATTGCATAAAGTAATTGTATTCTCCAATCTTCATATTGAATTCAAGCTCCTGAATTATTCAAAGCATTAGTTAGTAGTTTATGCAGTCGCTGTGTACTCAAGTGTCAGGAACAACGTAACTGTTTATACTATCCTCGTTTAAAAGTCAAATGTTAGACTCGACATAGCTCAAGAATAAACTGAGTATTGAACTACGTTAGGAACGAACAGACTTAAGGGAAAATTATTCCAAACAAATACGGCTACGAAACAATGTCATTAATTGATACCGCTGACAACAATGATTAATCTTGTACAATTTATTTTAATACAGAGGCAGGTCTAAGCGACATTGAGTTATAAATTCGTATTTATTAAAGTCTTTTAACAATATCAACTTGATACAGAAGAAGGATCTGGTTTATTTGTTTGATCTGTATTTTTTTTAATTCTTTTAAACCTGCCTACAAATACAAACAATATTTGTTTACAATGACATTGTAGCCATGTATTTGAGAGTCATAATTGATAAACACTTCATTCACTGTAAAGTCTGACTTTATAAGGTTTTTTTCTTTTTAATTTCTGTTAATAGTATAATGTTTGGCAAAAGATTGTGTACAATATTTGACATTAATCAAGGGTAATAAAATGATTAACATATTGTGAGTATATACTTCAATGTATATACATATATCCATATATATTTAAAATTATTATATTAAAAACTATAGAAAGCTTGTCGAAGAGGCCAAACTATTGATCTGCTTATAGTGTTGGATTAGATTAAAAATTTTTTTCTTTATTATTTAATATACTCTTTAAAATAACGATAAATTCTTTAAATTAAATTTTTAATGTTAGTTTTTGATTTTTTTATTTATTTTATTTTAGTACGCCTTTTCAAACACTATGTTGAAGTCGTGGATATAAGAAAGACATTTGATAAAATAAGCCATAATAATAATAATCAGGAATTTTAGTGTAAATTTTTAGCAAAGGAAGCGAAGAGTCAAAAAGGGATTATATTTATATCCAACAAAAATATATCTGGATCTTAGTTTTTGATGTGAATGTCCTATTTAACCCATATTAGAGCACTGTTTAACCCATGCAAATATATGCACAAATATATTTTATGAAATACTCCTCTGAAGATGACTAGAGCATGGTGAATTTAGTGGGAATATAGGGACTTATATCAATTTGAATATATTATTGTTACACATCAACATAATCTACATAAACTGCTTAGCCAAGTATTATATAACGTTCTGTGAGTCACATATAATGAATATCACCAAAACATTGAAAATTTATATAAGAGCACAAATTATTCGTATCTTGAAGTATGTAAAATCATTATTGATATGACAATACAATAAAATCATTTTTAGTTAAGAAAATAACTTGTCTTGATGTAGTTTACAGATTTGTGTTTAGAAAATAAAACTATATGGAATTAAATTTATTTTATATAATTCTTAGTGACCTTAATAAACATAGAATTATTAAGACACCTATCATATTATCTTACTTTTTACTCTTTCTCCTAACTGTTAATACGTTTTATTATTTATTAACAGTTATTTTAATGTAAAATGAAATATTGTCTCTCAAATATAAAGCCTTGTATTGAAACGAATCTACATAAAGCTACGTAAGTTATATATTCATAATATTTTCAGTTTTTTTTGTTGCGTGGATAAATGCATTATGCGTAGCTACCTGGCGGAGATAGCGGACAAATTATAAAGTGCAGTCAAGCGACAAGCGTAACGACAACGTTAAAACCTCAAAACCGTACAGTGAAATTCTAGAAATTCTGAATTTACATGCGATCTAGTTGGTGATTTTTCTTATATTGATATCAATATTGTAATATACATATGTATATTCTGACGCGTAGCAACATGTTGATTATTTATTATAAAAATCTACTAGGCTTGAATGAACATTATTTGAAAATGAAATAGGTTGATATATCTATCGTGTAACGTCTGTATATATGTAGATATCAGCGTATAAAATAGTGTAAAGTTATTTGAATTTTCAAGCGATCTTAAGATTCTATTCCCTTGTACTCCGGCTTCAGAGTTTTGTCATTATCGCATGGTTGTGAGATATTTCAGAAAATATAGAGGTGCGATGAAAAGATCCTATCACTTTCAGAATTTCGATGAAATTAGTAATTATCCTAAAGCTTAAATATATAATATTTTTTTAAAAAATCCTTCATCACAAAGATACAATACTTGAAATATTTATATAAATGCTATTATTACTCACCAACTTATGATTTCAAGATAATGCGTCCTAGATTTCATGCAAATTACTTATGGCGTCTTTATTCGTGTTGATAAAAACGTCATGACTAGTTGCTTAAAGTTTAATTAAAGTAATATTTAACAAAGATATTTCTAAAACGAAATAATAGCTTCGAAGGGAATTTTATTCCATTTGTTTCACATTATTGTTTTTCCAAAAATTACCAAGGCCTCAACTTAATTTTAAACCCCTGAAACATCCAACCATACAATATGAAGTTCGTATACAGCTATTATATTCATTAGTTTAAAAAAGAATCAAAATTTTCCTTAAAAGACATTCGATATATTAAACGATCTAATTTACGTATACCTAATATCAAATAACATAGGCTTAAACACCTTTTAGCTACCAGTTATGATATCGTTTACGCTACGAACACTACTACTGCCTTTACCTTCATAACAAACTTTTCAGTGTCTTTTAATGATTACTGACTTTAGTAAAACAGTTAAAGCTTGTCTGAACCTGCGTTTACAGACGCTCGCGCTGCTAAGCAGCTGGAGCACCCTGGAACACATACGAAATATTTGCCCTAATAGAAAATATTAAAAATGAAAATAATGGGACTGATTTTATTTTATAACACTTTAACAAAGAAATTAATTCCAAACGATAATTTTGTAAGTAATTTTTGTCTATATTTTTCTACGATTTTTAAGAATAAAAATTTTTAACAAAATTTATTCTAAGAATTTCTAATTGTATGGCATTTTTTTTAACGTTATAGAATTGTCATCAGACTGGTTTATATTTTCATAATATTAATATTCCTGGGTAACAAAGTGTGGACGTCCTTAATTCTTGTACCTAG